CCTCCCGCGTCGCAGGTCCCACCGGTGCCGCCGTGGTCCCCGGCCCCGGACAGCGATCTGTGGTCGGCTTCGCTGGGAGTAAAAAGCACTCAGTCCAGAAACACTTAGGGAAAGCTTGTGCGAGCCAGTGCGTGGCGGAGCTGCAGAGGTAAAGTAGCTGAGCCTAAGGGATTGGAAGATACGTTCCCAAGACTCGCGCCGCCGAGCCATTGCATCGTGGCCCAGCGGAGACCGTTTTCTTGGTAGAAAATGCGCCCAGGAACTGAGTAGATGCTCTGTATTTCGTACCAAAAAAATAGGAGTTGAATACCTAATATGCGCTGGGCACTGTGGCCACAGGAGACACAGTATAAACCAAAAACAAATCTCAGTCCTCAGAAGCTTAAAGGGGAGAGAGATCCCTTCCCCTTCTGTTTTTCCTTCTCGCATTGGCACTATTTAATATATATTTTGTTGATTTACCATGTTTATTGTCTGTCACCCCAGTGTGATGTAAGGGTCAAAGATGGGGATTTTTGTCTGTTTTCCTGTATTTTCAGCAAGTCGGACAGTGCCTACCACATGATAGGAACTCAGTTCACATTTGTTGTATGAATTAATAAAGTAAAAATACAAAGTGTGCAAGTGATGTTAAGTGCAATGGAGAAATATAAAAGGGAGGGAGGCAGAGAGTGGGTGCTGATTGTGCCTTTCAAATGAAGTGGTTGGGGAAGACCACCGGGTAGGAGGTGGATGAGCCAAGGTCAGGTAGTGAGGGAATGAGGCTGAGGGATACCTAGGAGGAGAGCATAAGGAACAGCAAGTGCAAAGATCTGGAGGCCAGAGTGACTGGAGCAAAATGAGGAAGGGAAAGAGCTCTAGATGTTAGAGTGATAAAGAGCCAGAAAATGCAGAGCCACACCAGCTATTTCAAGGTCTTTGGCTTTTATTTCAAGTGAAGTATGAGGCCAGTGTCAAATTTTCTGCAAAGGCCTCACCGGTGTCTGTGTTGCGAAGAATCTGTAGGAGTCCAAGAACCGAAGCAGGGAGGGCAAGATAGGGGGCTATCACAATAATCTTTGGTAAAGATAGAGCTCGGACCAGGGTGGTAAGAACTAGTCAGAATAAAGCTAGTGGGTTTTGCTGACTGATTGGGTCTGGGGAATGAACCAAGTTGGTGGCTTTAGCAAAGATAGGGACGTGATTGCTGTTTCATGAAAGGGGGAGACTGCGGGAAGAATGGGATTTGTAGGAAGATTTCAGAAGCTAAGTTTTGAGCATGTTACTTTTTTTTTTATGTGAATAAACTCTGTTTTGCTTACAACTGTAAACCGACTTTTGCCCCACCCTGTATAAAATAACATACAAGAACATGCTTTTCTTATTTTACTGACCCACATTTCAAGTGCTCAGTAGCCACCTGTGCCCATTGGCTACTGTACAGCTCAGAGCATGTGAGCCTGAGTCGTGCTCCAGTTTTTAACAGAACCTGAGTGTTTTTGTGTGTTGGACACCTTAGGTGCCACACCTCTGTCTTTCTCAGCAGAGAGAAAACATACTTCCTGTTCATCCTGTAGCTTTTACCTTCTTTGTCCTGGTCCTTCACGTAGCCTCCGTAGGAAGCCAGTCTTCAGAGTTTGGAGGTAAGGATTTCCTAGAAGAGAATGGAAGAATCCAGGTCTGTATACACACATTTCTGAAATGTTTTATAAGTATGTACTTCAAAATTCACTGTTTTCAGCTGGTGGGGAATAGTACTAAGTAAAGGTGAACTATAATAGCTCATTGGACTAGAACTAAAAGAATTCCAGCTTTTCAAGATATTTTTAAAGCAGCAGGTTCTACCCCCCCAAATATCACTGTGATTCATCTATGTCCCCTTCTTTCTAAAAGAAGGTGGTACAGTGCTGTGGCTACTAGTGTTGTTTTTGGAACTGGAAAAGCCTAGCTTTTAATTACATCTCTGCAACTTGCTAGCTGTGACCAGTTAGCCTCTCTAAGCCTCAGTTTCCTGTAAAATGCCTTCTAGGATTATAGTGAGGTGAATCAGAGCACTTGGTGGGTAGAAATTTCTCAGTGAGTGATGTCTTAGTCTCTCTCCATTCCTTTCCTATGTTGTTACCAAAGATATGTTTCTTAAACATACCTTTGACCCTGTGAGTCTCACATTTGAAAGCTCTAGAGATCACTTATGATCTGGCTACTGGCTCCTTTTCAATCCTCATCTCTTAGGCAATGTATTCCCACCTCCCCTGAAGTTGCACTTGTCAGGTAAACAAAACTGTGTGCCTGGGGTGTTTGATTTGCTGATCCCTCTGCCCTTTTGAGACCCAGTTCAAATGTCACCTCTAAATTTGTCCTGCTCACCCCTTACCCCAGATGCTCCCTTCCCAGGCCCAACAGCAATTTGTACATACCTCTCTTTTAGTGCTTATCACACTAATCTGTTTACCCTGCTATACTGTGAATTCTGAGATCATTGATTCCTACCTATATCCCCAGCGCCTAACATGTTATTTTTTTTAAAGAATTATTAACTGCCTACTACAGGCTTAATTTTAAAGAACAAATATTTTATACTATAAGTAAGGGGGGAAATTACATATACAGTGTGTTTCCTTTGTCTGGAGTGTGTGTGTGTGTATCTGTCTGTGTCTCTCTGTCTGTGTGCTGTCCTGTACCCCCAGTGCCATATGCAACCCCAACCTGAAAAGCACTGTCCCCTTGACGTAGCAGCTTAAGTCTCCCTGGGAGCCTTTCCTGACGTGTCTTGTAGAATTGGGCAAGCTCCTTGTGTGTTTCTCAGCACATTGTACATAGGTCTTTGGTAGGGCCTAGGGCCTTTTCCACTGAGTTACAGTGAGCAGTTGAAAATTCCTGTCTCCCCCAGGAGACCATTGGCACCGCAATAGCAGGGATCCTGTCCTTTCATGGAAGCATACCTGCCCCTAGCTTATTGTTATCTAATTGTCAAAGACTGAACACATTTTGAATAAAGGAATTTATAAGTACAGATTTTTTTAAAATAGATATGCTAATGAAGTAAATGAAGAATTCTCATTGATCTGTGTTTCTTTTTTAAGGTCCTTGTCATGTCAATAGCTTTATAATCTTGTAATCTTTCAGAAAAAAGGCCAAACTTTGACTAAAAGAAAAGTAGCAGAAATACTTGTATCTATTTTTTAACTGTTTTTGTTTGTTTGTTTTCTGTGCTAGACTTAGGTTAAGATGTGTTTGTTTTGCCCTAGCTGGTTTGGCTCAGTGGTTAGAGCATCAGCCCAAGGACTGAAGGGTTCTGGGTTCGATTCCGGACAAGGGCATGTACCTCAATTGCAGGCTCCAGCCCTAGTCGGGCTTGTGCAGGAGGCAACCAATCGATGTTTCTCTCTCCTTTCCACTCTCTGAAAAGCAACAGAAAAAATATCCTCGGGTGAGGATTTTAAAAAAACCCAAAAAAAGGATGTTTTGCAAGTATTTTTATAGAAATATGCCTTACCTAGGAAAATAAATATTTTTTGAAACATTTTTTCAAAAACTTGAGCTTTGAATTCTTTTTCTTCTAGCTTGGGATGTGGTCATGTCAGCCAGACTTCTCAGCGCCCTGGCCGGATCTCACTGTGTTCTATCAAAAGCATGTCAGTGCCAAAGACTTGTTCATCGGACAGGAAAACCACTTAAGGAATTTAAGAGTACAACACGCGGTACCCTGGCAAGAAGTCAAACCTTGGATTTGTTCTTTCCTGATACAGCAGCCATCAGTTTGAATAAGCCCCAGACTCTGGAAATGAACCAGAACATAGCAAATGCAAGCCTGTTCTCTGCATTCAGAACTGCACGTTGCCAAGATGAACAGGCGCATCTCCCAACCATCAAGTCTTCTAGTACTCACTGGGTGACTCACAAACCAAATCGATTTGGTCCTAAGTGGTTTATGAAAATAATCGAGAGGCATTACTCATCTACATCAACAGAAACGGTTGTTCCTAAACAAGACTTCCCACAAATCAAGAGACCACTAAAAGCATCGAGGACCAGGCAGCCGTCCAGAACCAACCTCCCAGTTCTGTCTGTGAACGAGGTAAAAACGTGTGGTGGGGCGCTTCTGCTTCGTAATTGTTGCTCATTCTCTGAACTAGTCTAGATCACACACAGCCTTACTGTGAGCGTAAGAGAATTAGCAACTAGCTCAGCAATTTTTTCATCAAGATCTTTGAAGCCAAATAGTAACACTTGCTCTATTCAAAGGGAATCAAAATCTTAATTTTAAGAATTAGTGATAAATACTGCCTGGCCAGTGTGACTAAGTGGTTGAGCATCGACCCAGGAACCAAGAGGTCACTGGTTCAATTCCCCATCAGGGCACATGCCTGGGTTGTGGGCTCGGTTCCCAGTGGGGGTGTGTGGAAGGTAGCCGATCGATGTTGTTTCTCTCTTTCTATCCCCCTTCCTCCCTCTCTCTAAAAAAATTGATTTAAAAAAATAAAAAGAATTAGTGATATATATAAAGAAAAAATAATAGGCAACTAAATGTAAACATATAGTTTACAAAAGGGTTAGTTATTGGCCTAAAAGGAAACTTTGAGAAAGAAGACTAGTGTTTAATCCAGTCTAGTAATGGTCCTGTAAAAGAAAAAACACACCCATTTAAAAAAAATCAAACTATAAAATTCTTTATTAAGTTAAAAATAATTTTTTTAGTAACTATGCAGACAGGTAAGCGTTTCTTGGTCCATGGCACCTGCATGGGATGGGTGGTGAGATGGCATGGCAAGGTCGAATCACATGGCAGTGGGAAGGTCTGTGCTGCTTTATTCTTTGAAGGTTGAAAGGGTATTTTTATTTAGTGTTATAAAGTATATGGTAATTTCTCAGCTATAATCACATTTCCCTCAAAATGATAAATAGGGTCAGGTCAAGCCCTTTGTTACCCTTTCCATCTCACAAACTACCTAGAACTGTGCCGTATACTTAATAAACGTTCATTAAGTTGGAGGGTGAGAAAGAGGTGAAGGGAACGTAGCCCAGGCCGGGTGGCTGAGTTGGTTGGAGAGTCTTCGGGTACACCTAAAGACGGTGGGTTCGATTTCTGGTCAGGCACATGCCTAGGTTGTATGTTCCATCCTGGGTCGAGGCTTGTATGGGAGGCAACTGATCGATGTTTCCCTTTCTTTCTGAGACGGAGGGACGCTCCTTTGTACCAGAAAGCAGGCGTTATTTGTCCTGAGCTCACCCACTTTCTCTGCCACACAGCATACACTCAGAATTTATGGAATGAGGTTCATCGCCCTCTCTATCAGAATCAGCTCTACCTGGTCTCACTGACAGAGATCGCCCCCTACTGAGATGTTCAACCTCCATCTTACTGGCTCAGAGTTTATCATGGCAACAACAGTGCTACTTGGCATGTCCTGTCTTTCAGGAGTAGAACCCGAAACCCTAGCCCTAACCCTAACGGAGCATGAGGACCAAGGCTCAGAGCTGCATGGAGCCTATGTAAGCAGGGACTGGGGAAATGCCCAGGGGTGGTTTCCAGCCCAACACCACAGTGTATTGTAAACTTAACTAGTGGGTTGTTAATTTTTGTATAGAACAAATGAGCAGTGAAACCACTTTTTTTTCTTTTTTTAGAGAGAGGAATGGGGAGAGAGAAACATCCATGTGAGAGAGAAACATTCATCAGTTGCCTCCCGTACGTGCCCTGACCAGGGTTCGAACCCGCAATCCAGGTATATGGGATGGCGCTCCAACCAACTGAGCCACACCGGGCAGGGTGGGTTGTTAATATTTTTTAATGAAATAGAATATAGAAAATAATCACAATGCATTACAAGTGGTAAAGCTGAAAAATACTGTTTGAGGAAGTTTTGTGTCAGTTACTGGTGTGTATATATGTGCATATATGTGCTGTGGATGTGAAAGGACTTCTCACCATGGGTTGCTGTCAGAAAGCTTAAAAGCTAAAGCTTTATACCAGTAACATAAAATGCTTCTGTGTTTAATAGCATTCCACCTACAATCTGTACCTAATAGGAAAAACATGCATTTCTCCCTCAGTGATAGAGAAGTGGCTTTGCTGAAATGCACTAATGTTCATTGGTAATAAAATGTGAGAAAAATAAACTTTCTTTTTTAAGAAAAGTGTCCCATCAGAGATGTGATGCTCTGAAACAAGAATCATGTATAGATTTCTAGCCCCATCTGCTGGAACATGTTTTCTGTGGCCAGGAAAAAAAACCATAACTGAAAGCACTGTGGTTTTCTTGACGTTTAGTTGTGTTTTTTTAACATTTTAATATAGAAAGGCCTAAATTTAGGTCTTAAATCCAAGAACTATTTTTGGTTGGTTTGGCACATTTATTTAAGAACAAATTGTTGACCCCATTTTAAAACCTGAAATTTGTGCTGTGTGTGTGTATGTATAAAATGCTTAATAAATGATTCATTATAAAATTTAAGGAAAAGATGTATGAAAATGAAAGTTTCTCACATAATAACACCTTTAATTAGTAGGGGAAAATGCAAAAACAGGATCCTCTGTCGCTCCTTTTCCTTTTACCAAATGGATTTAAATACAGTCATGAAATGTAAAAGCAGCCCGACTGGGAGTGGCTAAGCAGTTGACCTAGGGCATCCAGGAGATCGGGGTTCGATTCCCCTTCAGGGCACATGCCCGGGTTGCGGGCTCTTTCCCCAGTGGATGGCTTGCAGGAGGCAGCTGATCAATGACTCTCTCATCATTGATGTTTTTATCTCTCTCTCCCTCTCCCTTCCTCTCTCTGAAATCAACCCAAGAAAACATACTTAAAAAAAAAAAAGAAATGTAAAAGCAAAGGAAATAAAACCATAAAAAGATATGTCTACCAAGTCATATTTAAAACCTTTATGAATCATTTATTAGTAGAAGAAGCCATTACTTAAACAGACATTCAGATCCAAGTTTGAGGAGGGTACAGAAAGTAGTGTGGCAAGCCTGTATACCATGTGACATTATCTAGGACTCTGAGCCAAACTAAATAGGACACAGTGAGAAAAGGAGATGTGATAATCCTCAGAAAATCTGCAAAGAAGATCCGTGGAATGGCCAAGTGAAAAACAGATTGTGTTTTAAAATTTATTTATACTCTGACTATTTGGAGCTCAGAATACATTTTCTCATGGAAATGGTGATTAAATGCTTTGCCTTGTCTCATTTTTGAGAGTGCAGAAGAGTAAAAATTTTCAGCACAGATGGGCCTGGTCAGTAACAAACGGCAGTGAAGCAGGCCTGAGACAGCAGGGAGTGGGAGAAACTGTGTGGGCTGGAGAACCCGGCCCCCTCCCCAACCCTAGTTGATTGTTGCCAGATCTTCCACTTGATCAAAAGATGGTGGAAATCTGGATTCTATGTGAAGTCGTAATTTATCATTGATAGTTAATTCAAATCTTCAAAGCACTATGTGAGTCCCCTCTTAAGTTGGGTAGTTCTCTGGGCAGCAAGTTGACAATTCTGTTTTAGAGACAGCCGAGCCCTGCCGTTTCCGGTAGTTATGGAAAGACCCTCCACTGAACTAAGCTCTAGACCTTCTTATCTCCTGCCTTCTCTTGTGTCTCCTGCTTTTCCCACCTCAGCCCAAACTAAGCGTGTCAGCTTTGGCAGTCACAGAAGTCACTCTGACATCCAGTCTGATGGAGTGTGGTTTTGCTTAGCCAGCTTCACTAAGCGTGTCCAGTCTTCAGGGGTAGGGCCTGCATACCATGGCCTTCCTTACCTGAGCTGACGCCTCTTAACAGGACTCCTTTCTGTCAGCCAGATTAATCTCATACCCTGGCAGCTCTCTGACTCCATGCAGCCTTAAGAACAGATAATACTAGCAGTTCTAACTTAAGCACATAACTGATTCCTGTACCCTAGTAACTGTATTTGGGCTGTGCGGATCCCTATGTTTATTTTCCTACCTTCATATGTGACCATGGGAATCAGCTTGCCTGAAAATGGAGGGGACTCCATCCATCCATCTTCATATTCAACAGCAGCTTCAGCTTTGCAGCGCTTTTAACTTTTTTAATTGAATTAAATCATTTTGCTTATGAGTATAGATACCGCTTTTCGGTTTTTCAGTCTGTGCTTGAAACACTCCCAGCTGGGGAGGGGCTTCCCTCCCAGGATGCCCATTCTGCCTCTCGGCTCAAGCTCCCATATCTTCAGCTGCAGGCTGCCTCTCTGATGCTGCTTCCTCCTCTTTAATGTACCCCTTATATGAGCCTTTGAGATGTTTGGGGAATAAACGCTAGCTTTGCAAAATGGGGCCCTATATTGCAGACACTTTAGCCTCCTGGTGACCCATGTCATGCCAATCTCAATGAAACAGGACCTGATGCACTGCACGGCGTTTGCAACTGCAGATGAATATCACCTGGGCAGTCTCTCTCAAGATCTGACCTCTCATGGATATGTTGAAGTAACAAGCTTGCCTAGAGGTACATCTCAACCTGGGGCCAAGTATGTTAAAATGCATTAGAAAATAATTTTCCTATGATACTGTCTTAAATATGCACGTGCTTAATTTTCATTTTCTCTTTAAAGGATTGCATCATAAAAGGTGTTGAACCTCTTCATACAAATGACATACAAAGATAAGAAATTTGAAATGTCTTACAGAGAACTTAGTTCTCAGAGTAAGATCAGTATCTATTAAGCCGTATAGCAGCACTAGTACTTGGGATGGTAAAGGCCATGGCAGTTCATTGCTGTTGCATTAAAACATTTAGTATTACTGAAGAGCCAGGAAGTTGATAGAAATGTTGGGGAGAGCCTTTCAAGAAAAATTTACCAGTATAATCCAATACTTTAAAATTAAGAAAATGAGTTAAAAGAACACAATATTAAAATAAACTTAACTGAGGATATTTGAATACTATCAGGAAGGATTCTTGAGAAAATAGCATGCTTTATATGAAAAAATAAGTAACTTGGCCTGGCTGGTGTGGCTCAGCGGTTGAGCATTGACCTAGGATCCAGGAGATCACTGTTTGATTCCCAGGTTTTGGGCTCGATCCCCAGTTGAGAGCATGCGGGAGGCAGCTGATCAATGACTGTCGTCATTGATGTTTCTATCTCCTTCCCTTCCTCTCTCTGAAATCAATAAAGACATTTTTAAAAAACTAAGTAACTTGGAACACTGATGGAAATTCATGAATTTACCTCAAAGAAGCAAAAATAGTAGGTTGAAAACCCCCTGCTACCGAGAAAATTCTTAAGTCATTGACCCCGTAAGAAATAGTGAAAATGTCATTATGCTTTCTCAGCCTTGATGCTCTGAACAGACTATTCTATTTTATGGCAAAAACAGACATAATTGACTTAGAAAAACAGAGCTACGTCCGGGACCCCTAAGACAGAAGATCGCCCCTGGCAGTCAGGCAGGGTGGCCTGGGCACTGCCCTCCTGGGGGCTTCTTGGACCATTCTTGCTGCCCAGTCTTCCATTTCTACTTATGCTCCTCTTAACTACACAGGTGAACTCTGCCCTCTGTAGGACTTAGGGAAGTTAGAGTTCACCTAAAAAAGGTGGTTTAGGATTTGGTTTCTATCTGAATCCCCCTCCCCCCAGCCTCTACCAGGAATTCTGAAACTCTGAGGATCCTAATTTTAGGTTAAGAAATTATAGATAACTTTTTACATATTAATATTAGTATATGTATTATTTGATATGTTATTTACAACTTATATTATAGAATATAGACTTATAATAGCTTCTTATTGATGAGTACTTGCACATTAACATCTATTCAATAGTATTTAGAAGCTTAAAACATTTAAGTATTATAGATGACTACGGTGGTCATTCTCATAATTAACTTTAAAATGGTCAGTTTTGTTTCTGTATATTTTCTATTACCCACAATTTATACATCATTTAAAATTCAGCAAGATTAGTAGTTTGAGAATTACATTAGTAATATGTAAAATTATAAATAAAATGGTACTTAAAGGATGAGAATATATTAATGGTTCTTCACATTTTATTTTAAATTAATTTTATAGAATGAAGTTTATTTCTTGAGCCTTAGTTGTATTGAAACTAAGGCTTTAATAATTATTAACTGGACTAGTGATGACTGAGTTAAAATGGATATGAATGAGTAGTTTTAAATAGCACTAATAATAGTTTCACAGGCTGTTGAATGTTTTGTGAAAGTAATTTTGTATGGCCTTTTCCATGTTCATAAACCTTAGTAGAAAGATGTGTAATAGGGTGTTTAATGGTTTATGAAGAAATGATCCTAAGTTCTTGATTGAAAGTTTATAGGTGCCTCTTAAACCTTGTGTCACCTCACGACATAGCTTTTCAGTCATTTATTTTAAATCACAGATGCAGCAAATATTTTGGTGATGGGTGTGGAAAATTCTGCAAAAGAAGGAGATCCTGGAACAATATTTTTCTTCAGGTAAGACAAGAAAGAAACCCCACTGGGAAATGGACGCATGGCAGGTAATGTGGTCTCTAAAGATGCAGGTGTGCTCCTCTCTCAACAGGAAATGTGCTCAAAATTTGTGATTAAATTTATCCTTTGATTCTTAGTATATCTAGGAGGGTTTGTCAGTTTTAGGAATCTTCTGGTAAATCCTCTTGTAAAATAATTTTTAAAACCAGTAAATGGCCTTCCCCTGGTCCATCTCTGTTTATGAGCCTGGATTTGCGTTCACTGAGTGCAGGTGAAGCATCCTATTTCCCAAGCACCTCAGGGCCCTTCCCTGTCAGGCTCAGGCTGCCTCCCTGCTGTCGTTTCTTCCCTTCCCTTCTCCTCCCTCTGAAGCTCTTTGGCTGATGTTTGAACCCACTTGACCTGTCTGGAGACTGACTGCAACCGTGACTCATCCACACTTACTCCTTTATTTAAAGGTTTTATGTCATACTCCCAAGTGGCTGAGCGGAAGGGTAATGATCATAGAAGCCACCTAGAGTAATCTCATATTGTCTTCACAATACTTCAGAAAGGTCTGTTATTTCCATTTGCAGCTGAGGAAATGGGGCTCAGAGGGGTTAAATGAATTACTCACAATTGGGACTGTTATGTGGCGGAGCAGAAACATGGAGCATCGTAAGAACCCAAACTGTGGTCAAGTCTTTGTGGCCTCCATCCTTGTAGTTGATGGTGACTGGAAGCCCTCTCATTGCTCCTCTTGGTGACTCACCTTCCTTTTGAGGTCACTTTGGAGATCATCAAGAGTTCAACATTTAGTCCACGTAGAATAGCGTCCCCTTGCCTCAGGTGAGGAATTTGAATTCTGAGGTCCTCTCATCAGTGCCATCCATTAGAAATACAATGCAAGCCACAAATGCAAGCCTCATCTGTAGTGATATGTTCTCTAATAGCCACGCTTTTTAAAGTTAAAAAATTAACTTAGTTTTGAATAACACTAATAATATATAATGCCTGAAATTAAATTTAATAGCGTATTTAATGCAGCATATCTAAAATATTATCATTTCAACATGTAATCAGTCATTAATGAAATTTTATATTGATTTTTTTTCCCCATAAGAATACAGCAGGATCATTTTAATTTTTTTTTTCAATTACAGTTTACATTCAATATTATTTTGTATTCCAGGTGTGTAAAATTTTACATTCTTCTTTTCATACCGAGTCTTTGACACCTGGTGTGTGTTTAATATTACAGCAGCTCTCAATTTGGACCAGGCGTATTTCAAGCGCTCAGTAGTCACACGTGGCTTCTGAGCTCTGTGATGCTTGGCCCAGCTCCAGACGGAGGGTGCACAGTCTCCCGTCTGCCTAGCAGTGGTTCTCTGAGTTAATCCTCTGGCTGTGGCTTTAAATGCCTCTCAAATCCATATCCTGAGACTATGTGCTGACCTATTGCAGCAGCTTACTACCTTTCTGCCTGTCTTCTCACCCCACCTCCAGTCTGTCTGTTATAGGCAGGATAATTTTTCAGTAGGTCGTTCTGATCACTGCACTCTCCTGCTTAGAGTTCTATGGAATTTGACCAAACTCCTTATCAAAGCACCAAGTTCCTTGAGGGGTTGGCTCCTCCCCGCCTCTGCCCTGATTGCCCACTACTTGCCCACACCACAGCCATGCAAACTAGTAGCTGTTTGTTCTGAGGCATTGCCTGTCCCTCCCACCGTCCCCGAGCCCACGAGTGCCCTCTGCTGTTGCCTCTCGCCCTCTCCTCCGGCTGGTCTGCCGATCCTCTGGGAGCTGTGTCCCTCCCGTGCACGTCCGGGTATATGCTGCGTACTCCTCTTAGAGCACTGATCACACACTTGTAATTGCTGGTCTAGGTCTTTCCCAGGTTGGGAGTTTCTGGGGATAGAAGCTAGACTGTCCTCACCTTTGTAGCCAAGATGCTAGGCACAGACCCAGACGTGTACTGAGTGCATTGCTTAAGAAGTCTGAAGACTGATGTGGGGCCAGCATATTTTTACCTTCCTTTCATTCCCACTGTTCCTTCCCCCAGGGCTATGCCCAGAGCCATAACTCCCCTTTTTATTTACTAAGCAGCTCAACATGTCAAACTTCAGAAATCAAAACAAGTTGGTTTATAGCATTTGGGCCTTAAATTCTATCAAAGCCAGAACTGGGTTCAGAGGGCCCCTGCTGCTTCCTCATAGTTCTGCCATAAGCACTGTGAGGATGGGTGGCCTTACTCTACAGGTGCCTGTGCCCCTGAGGCTTTAACTTATCTCACTCTCTTTAGTCCACAGCTATTAAAAGCATAGCTCTTTACTCTTTCACAATAGCAGAATCTGTAGGAGAGCTAAGACGAGTCTCAAAAATGTCCTTACTCTGCCCTCGCCGGTTTGGCTCAGTGGTTAGAATGTCAGCCCTTGTACTGAAGAGGCCCGGGTTCGATTCTGGCCAAGGGCACGCACCTCAGTTGCAGGCTTGATCTCCGGCCCCAGTCTGGGCTGGTGCAGGAGGCAACCAATCGATGTGTCTCTCTCACATCGATGTTTCTTTCTCTCTCTCCCTCCCTCCCTTCCACTCTCTCTGAAAAGCAATGGAGAAAAATATCCTCGGGTAAGGATTAAAAAAAAAAAATGTCCTTATTCTGATTTTTGTACATCAGAATTGAAGCAGGCCCAACCACGTGGCTCAGCGGTTGAGCATTGACCTATGAGCCAGGAGGTCATGGCTCAGTTCCCCATCAGGGCACATGCCCGGGTTGTGGGCTCGATCCCTGGTGGGGGGCGTGCAGGAGGCAGCCGATCAGTGACTCATCATTGATGTTTCTGTCTCTCTCCCTCTCCCTTCCTCGCTCTGAAATCAATAAAAACATTTTTTTTTTTAATGAAGTAGGTATGAAACAATCTAGATACATCAGGTTATATAGTATTATAATAATAACGCAGACCATGAGAAAAATATGAATTTTTGAGAGGTTGGGTTTTATCAAGAGTTCAAAAAGTAGCTCTTGTTTTGGCAGATCCATCTAGGAACCATAATGTCAAGTCAGCAATAAATCACATATTTTAAAATTGCATTCTGGGTACATTCCTGAAGTTCCCTAAGCATGGCTTTATGTGTGGCCCTGAAGAATGTGTTCTACCTTTAACTCAGTTAATTCTTTTATTCTTTTAAATCAGGGAAGGAGCTGCTGTGTTCTGGAATGTAAACGATAAAACTGTGAGTATAAGTAAAATGTAAAAGTATAAAAATATAGTTTTCTGAGACTAAATTGTTAATTAGCACTCAACAGTCTGAGGGACTGGAAGATAAATTAACAGATAATTCACAATTTATTTGCTCTGCATTATGTGATATTTACCCTAGCAGTTTCATCTTCCAAAATATGTTATATTTTGGCTTATAAATTTCCTACATTTTCCATTCTCTGATTCTTGGAGAATCAGAACAATCCTAGGTACATTGCAGACAGAAGGAAGTATACTCTGTACATGATAATCTATAAAATGAGTAACATACATGCAGTTCACGGGAAGCTGGCTGCTCTGAGTCTTATTTTTAGAACTTTATCACTCACAGGAAATAATTTCTTCAGTATCCCTTTCAGGATTTGTTTAATGCAACCTTTCTAGATGCAGTTTGATAATACACATCAAAGCTTTATACTTAACTCAGTGATTTTACATCTAGAAAGTTACCCAAAGGAAATAGTTGCAGTTATGCATGATGGGTGATGTATAGAAAGGTTCATCAATGCATTGTTTACAGTAGCAAAGTGAGAAATAACCAGAATACATAATAGCAGGAAGTTTGTTAAATATTATGAACTCAACGAATTTAACTACTGTAGTTAATGTAGAATATACTACAGCTCTTAAAAATCATGTGGAAAAATATTCCTAGGAAATGGTAAAGAATGTATATACAACACAGTTAAATTTAAAAAGCAGGTTACAAAATATAACCAATATAATAGCAGAGCTGGTTAGAAAAGTATACCTCACGCAGTCCTAGTTTTACTAAGAGCAAACGCACGCACATGCACGCACATTGCTTTTTACAGGAAATGGGATCACAAAAGTAAATGTACGTTTGTACACACCAGAAAAAAGTGGAAGGATTAGGAGTTTAGGAGAGCAGAGAGAGCCACTCTCTGCACCTTTGTGTTGCTTAAATTTTTAAAAGTATGTTACTTACACATTTTTAAAATTTAAAGATTACAAGCCATAATTTTACTTGTCATTTTGTGTGGGTTTAAGATAATGTTAATTTTTATTTTCTTCTTTATGCTCATTTGTGTTTTCAAATATAAAGACAAATGAGTATAGCTTCCTTACAAGTTTACTATCACAATGAATTTGCTTTTCCTTAAAAACTGAGCAACAGAAGAAATGGTATCCACTGTAATGAAATGTTATCAGCATTACTGTAACACACGTCCCATATTTCAGGTTACTGTTCCTTTTCTTCCAGATGAAGCATGTGATGCAGGTTCTGGAAAAACACGAAATTCAGCCCTATGAAATCGCACTGGTGCACTGGGAAAACGAGGAGCTGAACTACATAAAAACAGAGTAAGCCCTTCTCTCAGGTTTACAGAAGGAGCAGCTGGAATGACGCGGTAAAGGTAGTAGAGGAGATAGCGATTTATGAATTTGGAGACTAATTTTTTTTTTAATCCTCACCTGAGGATATTTTTTTCATTGCTTTTCAGAGAGAGTGGGGGGGGGAGAAATCGATGTGAGAGAGACATCGATTGGCTGCTTCCCGCACACGCTCTGACTAGGGCTGGGGATCGAGCCTGCAACCGAGGTACACGCCCTTGGCCAGAATCGAACCCTGGGCCTAACCACGAGCCAAACCAGCCAGGGCTGGAGACTAAAAGCTATTGGTACAAATACAAAGCTTAAAAATACAGGGTGGGGGGCAACAGTAGGTTTATAGTTGTTCATATAGAAGATAATACAATAATTAATAAATAATAATACAAGAATAAATTCTGTTTTGCATACTCACAACTGCAAACCTACTTTTTCCCACCCCTCTATGACATTAGTGGGTACACATTACTTTTTTACCTTCTCAGGCTATCCATAAATTAAAACAAGCAGATAGTATAACCCCCAAGTGGTACATTTCCTAAGCAGCCTCAACCTGTAAAACAGTGTGCCTTCATCAGCATGAACCCCTCACGTTACTCCAGTCGTTTCTCCTAAGTCAGTCCATTCTTTCCTGTTGATGTTTTTTTGGTGTAACAGAAAATGTAATGAGGGGGTGATCTAAGAAGACCATGTGTAGGAATGGGGTCCTGACATACTATTCCCAGGTGAGATGTATGGGTGGGCAGCATGCTCGCTGACCCCCGGCTCTGCAAGGGGGAGACAATGAAGGGAGGTGTTAGGGCAGAGAGAGAAGGCAGTAGGAACCAGGCCGAAAGGTCTTTCCTCATGGAGTTACTTGGCTGGTGGAACGGGGGAAAAGTCTTCATATTAAGAAAGGAAGTGATGAAAGCAGAGCTTTAGGCAAATTGGGAGGAGACACTAGCCTTAGAAAGACTGGATGGGGTAAGATTGGTAGTGATAGCCAGTAAAGATTGACTACTCGCCCTGTGCCAGGCACACTGTGCTAAGGGCTTTTCATGCATCATTTCATGGAATCCCGAGAGAAACCGTCATTGCAGTGAACCAGCTTTGTGTGTTGCCCAATGGCACCTGACCAGTGAGTGAGAACCTGGGCCCATAGTGGCTGCAGTCGAAAAATGCAGATGTAAACCTAAGAGACACTACAAAATAGGAGCTAATAGAATTTTATTAATATCTTTCTTAAAGAGAAAGGGAGAGAGAGAGATCGATGAGAGAGAGACATCAGTTGGCTGCCTCCCGCACGCCCCTTACTGGGATGAAGCCCACAACCCAGGCATGTGCCCTGACTAGGAATCCAACCTGAGGCCTTTTGGTGCATGGTACGATGCCCAGCTATCTGAGCCACACTGGCCAGGACTGGAGTTGTATTAATTACGCACTTGGCCTTGTGGCTATAATCCCGTGACTACCTCCAGATCAAACTCTTACTAGGTCCTTTCCCCCACCCAGACACACACGTGCACACCTCTCCCTCATACTCACCACCTGTCAGTCCGAGGAGTAAGGTCCTTAACTCCTTGGCCCCCAGAGTCAGGGACTTGGTTTTACCTGCCCACCCCATGTCCACATCTCCTTGTCTCACATCTTCTGGGAAGATTCACCCTGTCCTTGTCTTTGCCTGTGATGTTTGTTTCCCAGGTTCCCTCCCTTTGCCCAGCTCCCCGGTCCTTTCAGAGTTCTCTGCGTTCACCTTAGTTTTGTTGTTAATCCCCACCCAAGGATGTTTTTAATGACTTTTTTAAAAAGAGGAGAAGGGAGAAAGAGAGAAACATCAGTCAGTTGCCTCCTGTGCGTACCCCTGACGGCATTAAACCCACAGCCTTTAGGTGATGGGACTGCGCTCCGACCAGCTAAGCCACCCGCCGGGGCCACTAGTTTTTAACAGCTCCCATCTTCCTCGCTGCCCGCACTACATCAGTGTCATTTTATTACACTGTATATATACGTTTATATTCAGCGTTTTTTCAGTTAACAATTTATTGTTATTTTCCTTTCCATTAAATATCCTTCCAGAATATGCTCTATAGTTTTTGTTGTGAAGGATACTATAAATGAACCATTCTCCTATGGAACATTTAGTTTCTGTTTTAATTTTTTTAATTAAACATTGGATCATGGAGTTTTTTGTACACAAATCTTTCTTTGCATCTTTTATTTTCTTAGGATAAATTTCAAGAAGTGGAATTATTTGGATACAAATTACCAAAAGGACCTCCAGAAAGACACTCAGGGACTCCAAAAAAAAAGTGCTTTTTCAGATTTAAAAGATACATTTTGTTTCCCTTTCCACAGGGGGCAGTCGAAACTTCACCAAGGGGAGATCAGGTTAAATTCAGAGCTGGATTTAGATGACGCCATTCTAGAGAAATTTGCATTCTCGAATGCTCTTTGCCTTTCAGGTAAGTTACTACTACTTACGAGAGAAAGGATCGCATAGTTTCATCTCATCAAGGGAAGTTGAAGTGCTTAGTAAAGATGTTGGCATGTTTTCACAGAGCACTCAGCAGAGCCTGAGCATTCTTTTTTTCCCCATGAGGAAAAATAAAATAAGCATCTGTGCTGAAGCTACTCAGTCCTTATTCAGTGTATTGATAAAGCTTACCCTCTCCCAGGATATTTTATATTGTCATTACCACCTTTGTTTTCCTCTCCTCTCTGTGATATTGCTGGGTTGTCTCTAATGCAGGCAGAGAAACCCCGCCCTGTGTGACTGGCACAGGCCTCTGTGTAGAAAAATACACCCTAGCTATTCACAGAAATAGGAGTCACCGCAGCTCTGAGTTTTTTCTGAAAGGTCCATGCACCTGATAAAACTGTACAAGTTCCCTAAGAACTTTTTTTGCCCTCAGTCTGCCCTAGGCTGCCACTGTGGCCCGTCCATACCACCCCGGGGGCTCCGGGACTTCTGAGCTGTACTCACAGCCCCAGGAATGAGGGAATGTGGGGAGGCTGGTTCCCGCCCCACCTACGGAGCCACCCCTTGTCCCGGGATGTAGCTCAGACTCTCTGGTTTCCAAGCTACAATATTAGAAAATCAGGAATTCTACCAAATGTAGCTTTGGTCTGCCAGCCGGGCTTGGAAGTCTACCTTGTTTCTTCTTTTTCCACTTTAGAGCTGTCCTTTATGGTAATTAACTGTTCTTAAATTTCAGTTTCAAATTTTTGCACATTTGTGTCTTGAAGTATTGTTGAAGTGGCGGGGAGGGTACTGTGCAGCTCTGCCTTTTGTATAAACGTGAACGTGACACTAATGAAATGATCTGCTGTGAAATTTTCCCCAGTGAAACTGGCTATTTGGGAAGCATCACTGGATAAATTCGTGGAGTCTATTCAGTCAATTCCAGAGGTAATTATACCAATTTTATGCTGCTTTTCAAGGATTGATTTCTACTTGGGGAAAATACAAATTTCCCACCATAACCATATATTTAGGAGTACAATAAAATAATAAACAGTAGGAAAGCTGTACTTTAAGGGAAAAAAAGAACCCTCAGATACATATAAAATGATGGATAAGAAACTTCCTATTTGTTTTATTTTCACTTTTCAAGCGTAGAATTCAATCTCTTTCCTCAGGTGGTGCAGTATTTTTAATGTCACTGCACTAAAGAAAAAAAGTGAAATATTTCCTCTCTGAGGAAGGAGGTTATGACCACATTTATTGATTAAAAAAGGCGTTTTGCTAAATTATGAGAGAAATAGTGGCATGAAAAATACATATAAAGTTATATCAAAATTTGAAAGTACGTTAAAAATCATGTTTACTGTAATTTTGTTTTTACTGTGAATGAATAATGTAATTATACTTGGGATGAGAGGCCTTGAATTTTTAATAAGAGATTAGGAACAGACATTCTAAAAACCCAGGTGAGAAAGGACATGAAAAAGGGAATATAAAATTCCTACTTAATAAGATTATGTATTTATTTTATCAGAGTGACATGGCTGGGAAACAGATCTCCGGGAGACGTCACTTACGTTGCATTAAAATCATGCTGCTTCAGGATTTGCCTATGATCCTGTTCCTTATCGCAGATACATGTGTGTGTTTCTTTTTCCCTCCCACATAGGCTTTAAAAGCTGGGAGGAAAGTGAAACTATCTCATGAAGAAGTTATGCAGAAAATGGGTGAACTCTTTGCCCTAAGGTAAAATGTCCGCAGTAAATAAAATATTTCGTATATCTAATGATAAAGACAGTCCTGTGGTTCTCTAGTAAAGAGCCAACATTTGCACCTTTATGAGACTTGCAGCTGTTTCTTTATAAGCAAGAACTCTTACCCATGAGAAGCAGTGGGCTGTATTAGGACTGACCTAAGAAATTCTACATGTGCAAAAAAGATCAGTGTTAATCTACAGTAAAACTATGTAAGAGAGCATAGGTGATGTTCTTTGAGGTAGGAAGGTACATTCTAGCATTTGGATAATGGGACTTCTCAGTAAAAATATATCACTGCATCATAATGCTAAATAGACCCAGTTGCTACAGAAAAGTTATGTACCACGTTTCATTGACAGAGATGCCATAGATGCCACAGGAGAGGCATGGTGCTGCCACTTAAAACTATGATGCAGAGCTTTTTGATCACAGAATTTATATCTTGTACTGGCTGAAATAGCTCTTTTAGTTTTATTTGGGTGTAGATTCTATCACATTCTCTTGGGCATACATAAAAAGGAAAGCATAAGGGAAATAAATTAAGGCAATGACAGTTAAGTTACCACTGCCACTTGTAAGATAGCGTCAGAAAAAGATCTGGAAGGACAGCAACCTGTTGGCAGGGCCTGAAAGGTCTGAGTTGTATGTTGGGGTGAGAGGCCCTACCCCCATTTTCTGAATTCTTCTCTAGGTTTTCCTGTTTTATGTGAACAGCTACTTATGTTACTTCTACAATTTAAGTTCCATTTAAAAGTAAGCTTAGGCCTCTTATTTAAACATAGATAGAAATTGAGAGAGACTATGTGTGTGTCCACGGGCACACAAATGCTGGAAGGATACAAGGAAACTAACATTGGTTACCTGTGGGGGTAGGAGAAAGGGAAGGATGGGTAAGAATAGGAGTAAGAGTGGTCAATTTTAATCTTTTTATTTTTTATTTTTGAGCCACGTTCATTCCTATCCACACAAAAAATGTTTTTGTATATTGTAAAAAATTTTAATGAAAAAAGTTTAGAAACAGGAAAAAACCCTCTCATTTTGTTTTCAAACTGCTTCACAAATAATACGTCTGAATTAATCTGGTTGCAAATTTTTAAATTTTTTATGTCCCTCTGAAGTATTATAAAGGTCAGCAATTGTCATAAAGCACCAAGTAAATAAAAAATATAATAGAGACCATGATTTTTAATTCAAGATAGAAAATAAAAAGTTACCACTTTTCTTTTTTTAAGACACCGTATAAACTTGAGTTCAGACTTCCTGATCACTCCTGATTTCTACTGGGACAGAGAAAACCTAGAACAACTTTATGACAAAACTTGTCAGTTCCTAAGCATTACTCGTAGAGTTAAGGTATGTATTTTGCACTTTTATGGAGGACATGTTGTGTGAAAAAATTAAGAAATTATATTTAACTGCTTTTGGAGAAATATTTGACTTCTGTTCATGTCTCTAAATTTGCCTTTTCCCTTGTTCAGTCTATAATTTTCAACTTTTTGTGTAAAAGGGTATCCTGTATTTGCTCTGCACACTAGATAAGAGGGTTTGGCAGCCTAGTGGCCCGTAAGGATGTTCTCATCAAATTTCAAACAGTTCATGGGGCCTGGGAATAGAAGTGCATTTAAGAGAGAATCCTCTGAGCAAATCAAGTACTTGGTCATGGAAGGCCAGGGAGAGGGATGACTGATGTTTGCCTGTGGGTGATGGGTAGAAAGATGGCAAAACAGAGAGGTGGGGACAGAAGGTAAGGAGCTAAATTTAAGATAAGTTGTACGGGCTCACAGGACAGAACAGGGCTGGAGTGTGGGAATGGGGAATGTCTATTGCACAGGCCCACACAGGTCAGCAGGACTATCTCTCCTCAGCATCTGTGGCAGTTTGGCCGCATTCTCTCCTCAGCAACATTCTCTATGGGATGGGGACAAAAGGGTGTGGGGAGAGGGAGTATCCAAGCTGGCATTTCACCCTGCCTGGCAGCTTCAGAGGATTGGGACGTGTGTCTGAGCTTGGCTCTGTACCTTCCCCGTCTCCCCTCTGGCCTCGGGAGGGTTGGGGAGTGAGTGTGTCGGGTGGCTGCATGATCAGCAGCATGGTACGGCTGGAAAGGGAAAGGATCTCCCTGGAAGAAGGGGGCGGGAGGGAAGGGTGCTGGGCAGACAGCATGACTGAGCAGAAGGAAGTGCCGTAGGAGCACTGAGGGAAGCAGCGGGCAGTTGGAGGTGTCACAAAGGCTGCGTCTTCAGGGCTGAAGGGCAAGCCACCGTCTTCAGTGTGACTGGACTCAGTGATCCAGAATTGTTTATGTGTGGAGAAGGCAATGGTAGAGGGGTAAAGACTTGAGCAGGGGAGTGACATGATCCAGCCTGTTCAGGATGAGAATGCTGATTCCACTGCAAAAAAAAAGCGGGGGGGGGGGCCTGAAGGTATACCAGGTAGTATTCAGACATGACAAGCAGAGGACAGAATGGAGCCTCTTAGGGCCCAGGATAACTGTAGGGAGTGGGGATTAAAGGTTTCTGTCCTGGGTAACTGAGAAGATACTGTGACCTGATTTGAGATAGGGAGCCCAAGAGGGATAGATTTGGCAGGATGTCAGTGTTTGAGAAATGCTGAATTTTGAGGTGCTGGCAGGAAACCCAAACGATGTTTTATAGGCAGTTGAAAATTCAGACAGAAGTCAGGATTAGGCATTTGTATTTGAGACTTACCAGAAAATAGAGTTTTAACCAATGTCACCCCAATAAATTCAGTAAAATAGAAAAAAATTTAATAAAGAAGATAGTAGTTTAAATTAGTCTTTCCCAAAAAGTGCAATATATAAACTTGTACAATAGATTACCTTAGGTGACACACAGACCCTGAAATAACATCAAAGTAAATACCACTCTTGTCGAGGAGAAACACTTAGTTTGGTTTCAGTGGGTCTCGAATGATCCTCTATCGTATGCTCATCTCCCACCTTCACAGGTGTCGGGCTCAGCATTGTGTAGGCAACAGGCACTATTTCACAGAATGCTTGTTTCCCATCTATAGCAATGGTAGTTTCCTTTTTAAGTATTTCTGAGTTTAATCTTCTGGAATTTAAATAATAGTACAGTTGACACACATATATCACAGAAATAGTGATGGTAGGATGGAAATGACAAGTTTGGGAAGCATCTACACAAACCACAGTAGGTAAGATCTGGAGGACAAGGACAGGGTCAGGACTTCGGGAAATGTCGCCCCAAGGGAAGATGAGGGAGGGAAGGCAGAAAGAGAATGGTGGTCAGTGATGGCACTTAGCTCTACGGGAGGGGAAAGCTAAAAGAAGCGTCTGTCTCAGAGTGTTGTCAAATGCTAGAGGTAACTGAGGTTTGGAATCTAACCAAGGAAAGCTGTTAGGTTTACTATTAGGAGACAAGAGAGGAGTTGTGGCAAATATACAACTTGGAAGGGTTAGGGAATAAGCTGGATGAGGAAGTAGAGAAAGAAAATGTAGGTTCCTTAGTTGAAAGAAAATGGAAGAGGGTTGGGTCAGTATTTTGGAGAGAAGCAAGCTTGGATGAGCTGCATGTTACAAACCAAGATCAAGCAGCCAACAGAACTAGGAAGAGGGAGGGAGGAATTAAAAAGAAAGACATTGTTCTGAACACTTACACATATGAGAAACTACAGGGTGACCATAAAGTCTGAAAATACGGGCAAATACATGCTACCAGTGTGGTTCCATGTGTCCTGTCCCGTTAGTGAGGCTGTTTAATGCTCTGTGCAAAGCCACAATGAATCTGGTGCACTACCACATCTCAGTCAAACCCAACATCTGTCTGTAACTTGTCTCAAATTTCCACTGACCAAACCTGCATCTTCAGCACACCCCATAAGTAATCAAGGGGAATCAAAACTATTTTTTAAAATGTTTCCAGACTTTACAACTTCCAAGAGAGCTGCAGAGAGATTTAGGAGGTATAACTTGCCAGTGGTAACATTCAAGCCTTAAATTCAAAGATTCTGTGTTCTATGAACCCCCTCAACCAACCAGAGGGGCATCAGCAGGCAGAACCTCTGCAGTTCACACTAAGAGTGCCATCTAGTGGTAAGTGCGCAGCAGGTTGTGTGTTTGGGGGAGTTTGAAAGTGTTTGAAGTTTTAGTATAAGGTAAGGTAATCACTGTTTTTGTCATCTTAAGGCCATGCTGAAAAAAATCATGTTTCAAGTTTGCCTTTCATAACTTCTAAAAATCCAAGGGCTGCTACCAAAAACTAGGACTCAGAAACTTTATATTTAGATCTTCCATCAAAATCTTACCAATATAAGAGCCTCAGTATGCAAAGTACTTCTTGCAGTTCAATCTGTGCAAACAAAATGTCTCTAGATGGATTCATGAGACAGGGAACATTGGCAGATTGCCTCTGGGGAGAGGACTGAGGAGCGAGAATTGAAAGGATGAATTTTCACTGTATGCCTATTTCAAACCTTTAGAATTTTGAAGCATGTGACCACTTATTTGCTTAATTAATTAAAGTACAGGACACTTTCTATTTCTAGGTTCCTATTTTTTGTTTACTGTTTTCCTAATGCAGGTCATGAATGAAAAACTTCAGCACTGCATGGAGCTGACAGATCTAATGCGGAACCACCTGACTGAGAAGAGGGCCCTGCGCCTGGAGTGGATGATTGTCATCCTTATCACCATAGAGGTAAATAACCTTTTCACAAAAATCATTTTAAATTGACATAGAAAATGCTAGGGAGAAAGAGCAGACTTCGTTCCAATTATTAAGTCTATTTGGAAGTGAGGTTAAGTTTCAAGTGACTGGTAGTATTTTGTAAATGCGTTGTTTATTCCATTTTTCAATACGGCCTTTAGCGAAAGTTTGGACTGTAAAATTGTATCGGATAGCCCCACAGTAAGTACCTGTGCCTCGGACCTGCTGCTTGCCACATGGGAAAGACAAATATTTACTCTTACTTCAGAATTCTTCATTAACCACAACTTTGGAAGGGTCACTTTAGTTTGTATCAATAATTTGCCATTAAATTAATAATTCTCACTTTTTATCACCCTAAGGTAATGTTTGAGCTGGGACGAGTATTTTTCTAATCAAGTGATGACCAAAGGAAAAGTATGATTGCAAGACATATTCAAGTTCTACAATCAAAAATAAATGTTCACGGTTGGGGGAAGTCTCTTATTTAATAGGTATTTAATTTTTTTAAATCAAATAAGTTGTTATAATTATCTTTTTCAGCTCCTAAATGTACTGCTGCTTGAATAAAAATTATGAAAGATCTAGTGTTTGGGTCTGATAACACTGACAACTTGAAAGCAAAATATTTAAAGAATTTTGGATAAGCTTAGCATCTAGGAAATCTAGGCAAAGATACTTATTAGATCCTAAGGCTTAGATTTTGGACACTGCTCTTAACCTGTCCCCAGGGAATCCCAATCATGGTCCTGGCTAGGAAAACTATGCAGGAAATCAGAAATGTTAAATACATAAAATAAGGTAGGCATTTGATAGAATATAATTTTATAAACCTATTTTAGATGGCATAATTTGAGAATGAATGTTCACTGGCACTTTGCCTTTCATTAGTTTTTGTGGGGTTTTGGGGTTAATCCTCACCCAAGGATATTTTTTCCATTGATTTTTACAGAGTGGAAAGGAAGAGGCGCATCGGGGGGCAGAGAGAGAAACATTGATATGAGTGAGACACGTTGATTGGTTGCTTCCCACATGTACCCGACCAGGGCTGGGGATCAAACCTGCAACCCAGGTAACATGCCCTTGACTGGGAATAGAACTTGAGACCTTTGGTACATGGGCTGGCGCTCTAACCACTGAGCCACAGAACAAGGCAGACTTTTATTAATTTAATAATTTCCATCCCTTCACTACCAAGTTGGTCAAAACATTCTTCCCACAGAAACATTTTTTTTTTTTAGTTTCACACATACTTTAGGGAAATTAAAAAATGCCAAGTACAAAGAATTTTACATTTATATGCTTACCATCTTGAATTGAAAGTAACATTTTTTAGAAAGCAAAGTCTTTGCCCNGAAATCTGAGAGTCTAGCTATCTCCCATTAAGTAAGACATTAAAAAGATATGTGAAAGCCTGACCAGGAGTGGCTCAGCAGCGGAGCATCGACCTAGGATCCAGGAGATCGCAGTTAGGTTCCCAGTCAGGGCACATACCCGGGTTGCAGGCTTGATCCCCAGTTGGATGTGTGCAGGAGGCAACCAATCAAAGACTCTCTCATCATTGATGTTTCTCTCTCTCTCTCCCCCTCACCTTTCCTCTCTCTGAAATTAATAAAGATATATTAAAAAAAAACAAAAGAACGTAAAGTCCTCACCCAGGGGTGTGGCTAAGTAGTTGAGCATCAACCCATGAACCTGGAGCTCATGGTTTGACTTCCAGTCAGGGCACATGCCTGGGTTGCAGGCTTGATCCCTAGTAAGAAGCATGCAAGTGGCAGCTGATCAGTGAGTCTCATCGTTAATGTTTCTCTCCCCCCCCCCCCCCCCCCCCCCC